GCTTTTCCCTTTTTTTTTTGAGAAATAGAATTGTCTCAAGCACTTAAAAAGTATCTTTCAGAGCTTTCTGAACAATGTATAAGCTCAACCGAGCACCCTCTTAAGACTTAGAAGCTCCCAAGCATACTCAACGGTAACTATGCGTGCCTCATAAAAGTGCAAAATGAATGTTCAATCATTGTCCTTAGAAAAATAAAGAGAGAATGGGGTCGAAATACCAGGAAAGCTTAGGGCAAGGCCAGTGCAACATCCAGCCACTCCTGCATTTATGACTGCAGATAGGGAGAGAGCGACAGAGTCAAAAAATAGAAGATACAAGAAAAGATATTTCAAAATAACAAAAAGCTATACCATCATCTTTTCCCCGAAATCTCTTCAAAACACAGACGACTAAACTGTGCACTCCTGATAAAACCGCAAATGTCTGCAAGATGAGTTAAAATTAGAAAGTCCAACATGACATGTGACAATCAAATCTTCCATCTATACTCGAGGATCATTTATCAACAGCAGGTCAGGGGTATACATATGTATGTGTATGTTTGTGTATATCTCATACCTTCGCAGAAGACCCCGCCTCAGCAAAAGAGCCTTTAAATCCTTTCTTCTTAATCAATCCAGAGCCTATATTTCCAAACATACTCCCAATATTAGAGTTTAGAAAACTTTGATGGTTTCTTCCTAAAGCACAATCATGATACACAAGGGATTCTTTTTTCCAAAGCACAAAGGATTCTAATCATGAAAATATTAGTAAATTATCTTATGACCATTAATCATATCGCGACTTCGTGTCCCTTACACGTGAACAAGACTTACTCGATCATAATCAAAGGACAACACTAAATAGCCAAGTAATAGTAGTAGTTAACCATCTCCACAATTTGGACAACACATAATTCAATAAAGAGCATAAGAGCTGAAACAGAACAACTTACTGAGCTATCTAAAAACAAAAGAAACATGCAATTATACAGAACAACAATGCCACTCAATATATACATTTTGAACATATAAACGGTACACATAAATGCAAACACGCACGAGTACAGTCATACGCCCAAAAAGAACAATAAGCCCACACAAAAATTATAACCACGGGAAAGCGAAGCGTGATTAGGTAAAACGCACGGTGCTGAAAAGACTGTCCACCAAGATTGACATTGGCAACACGTTCAGCAGCAAACAAACGAGAACAATCAACACCGACATGTGAACAGAAAGATGAAACAAAAATAAAGACAGGGAGGGGGGACGATGAAATCTCACCAAAGCCAAAGATGGAGCCCATGAAAGCACCGGCGGCAGTGTCACCTGCAGATCCAATTAGGCAAATGGCGGTTTTGCTCGGCGGTTTGGGCGTGCGCAGTGAATCGGAAGGATAATCAGGATTAGGGTTCGGAAAGTTATCGATTTCGGAATCGGAGTCGGGATTGATAGGGTTTTCAGGGGTCGACGACATTGATTAAGGAAGAGGAGGTTGACGATGCAAACAGTGCAGTGGATGGGATAAGCTTACTGAGAATGAGGTGAAAACTGCTATGGTAATTGGTATATGGCACGGTTGGTTATGCGGCGGAATAGAAAAAACTTCGTGGGTTTAAATTAATTTTGGCAAAAGAATTGCGGAAAATTCCACTTAAATCCCCCCTCCCTTTTACAATTTTCTGTTCAGTCCCCCCTTTAATTTTTTTCCTCTGCACTCCCTTCCCCTTATTTTGTTTTTCCATTTCACTCCCCCTATATAAACTAAGCTTATTATTATTCATTTATTTTTTGTCATTTTATTCATAAAGTAAAGTCTCTCTCTCTCTCCTCAATTTTTATCAGCTTTCTGTCGCCGCTCTCTTCTCTCTCTGCTCGTTTTTTCGTCGCCGCTCTCTTCTCTCTCTGCTCGTTTTTTCGTCGCCGGTCTCTTCTCTTTTTCTGTTCGTTTTTTCATCGACATCGCCATCGCCATCGCCACCTCTGCGCTCTCTCTCTATGTGTTCGTTCATCACCATCGCCCGCCATCTTCATCTCTCTCTTTCTCCGTCACTTCGCCATCTCTGTGAAGAAATGGCCGGCTCCAAAAAGAAGTCTCCATGCAAACCGTCCTCCTCGACACCCACGAAGGTAAATTCGGATTTTTGGGGTTTGTTCATAATATTAGAGTTTTTTTTTTCAATTTAGGAGTTGAATTTGAAAATTAGGGTTTTTTCAATTTAAGGCTTGAATTCGAAATTAGGGTCTTTGTGTTTAATTGAATTTTTGTAAATTTCTTTGAATTCGAAATTATTGAATTTCTGTGAATTAGAGGTTAATTCGAAAATTAGGGTTTCTTTTGAATTTAGGGGTTGAATTTGAAATTAGGGTCTTTGTGTGTAATTGAATTTTTGTGAATTTCTTTAAATTTGAATTTATAAAATTTCTGTGAATTAAGGTTGAATTCGAAAATTAGGGTCTTTTCAATTTAGGGCTTGAATTCGAAATTAGGGTCTGTGTGTAATTGAATTTTTGTGAATTTCTGTGAATTCGAAATTATTGAATTTATGTGAATTCGAAATTAGGGCTTTTATGTATATGAATTTGTGTGAATTTCTGTTGGTATTTGTTTTTTTTATTTTTTATTTTTTTTTTATTTAAATTAGGGAGCATTGGTCTTGTATTGAATGTATGATGTATTCAATGTTCGTAAACTTGTACATATAATATCTTTTTCCTCACAAATCTATTTGCTTGTGATAGGGCACGGAATTTAGATGCCGATGTGCCCCTTCGTTCTTTAGAGATATAATGGACAGGACAGTTGTCGTGCTTTCTGACCGGCACAAGGAGGCTCTTCAAAAGAGTCCGTTTTATTTTTTTTTTAAATAGCCTGATATACCGGTGTTACATGGTAGAGTGGAGGCCTTAATTAGCACATACAAGGCAGATGTGAATGCCTTTGTTGTGGGTGATAATTTGTCTCTTATTTTTTACCCCGCCGAGTTCTGTGTAACAATGGGGCTTCGACAGGGCGGTCTAAGCGTAGACTTAGACCTTTCTTTAGATTCGAAAGCCCTATTCGAAGGTTGGGGTCGAGCAGGTGAAATTTTTTTGAAAAGACAACAAGTAGTACATTTGTTACAAAAGTTTTCTGTTGATGAAAGTCATATAGACGACTTCATCAGAATGTATACTTTGTTAGTTTTTAGTTGTATTTTGTTTCCTTGCTCGAGTTACTCGATCCCCAGGTTTGTTTACCCTTACCTGGAGGATGTGAGTCGAATTTGTGAGTACGCATGGGGAGATGCGACTCATAAATTCTTGCTTGCGGCGCTTGTTCGCCACGGTGATTCGACAGACCGAGCTTACTTTGGCGGATGTGTGGTTGGGCTGATGGTATGTATATATGTGTTTCAATATCGTAATACAATAATATTAAATTGTGAGATTGTATAATTTTGACATCATGTGTATATGTGTAGGCTTGGTTGTACGAACGTGTGCCTTCTCTGGGCAAACGTTCCACGCTCGAGGCGATTCCCCGTCTATTTCGATGGAAGGGGAGCACAATGCCGTCAACATTTCAAGGGTCTTTACATTCCCTTAAAAAAATAATGAGGCATAAGGTAATTTATATGAACTTACAATATGTGTTTTCTACTTCTTCTTTTTATCTTTTTGGTTAATCGATTTTGTACCTAAATCATTATGATTTGCTTTGCAGGTGTACTCGATATCGCCTGTTATGGAAGAGCGTGCATTTGTGGAAGCCCAGGTTTTCCTTTAATTTTTGTCCAGAATTTGTGTTTTAGCATTAGGTACAATGGGCCTTTTAATTTATTTTTTCTTTCTAATTTCTGTTTTCTTTCATGTACAGGGACCTTTCGAGAGCCGGTTGTTTGCCATGGTTTGTCTTGAGAACGACAAACTTAAAAAACAAATTGAATTGTTGGAGTCTCAGTGGGGAGAAAGAAAGAATGAAGAAAAAGAAAGAGAGGAAAAAAGTGAGGAAAATGAGGCTGATGGTGGTGATGGTGTTTGTTATGCTGAGGAAAAAGAGGAGAAAGAGGAGGAAAAACAGGAGGAAATAGAGGAGGAAAGAGAGGAGGAGGAAAGAGAGGAGGAAAAAGAGTGCGATGAAAAGGAGGAGGAAAAAGAAGAGGAAAAAGAGTGCGATGAAAAAGAGGAGGAAAAGAAGGAGGAACGATTGGCTCTGATGATTGTTGAGAAAGAACCTGTTGTGGATGACAATGAAGATGTGACTGAGTTTGATAACTTGGACAGACTTGTAAACCTTGTAGTCGAGGATGCTGGTTTGATGGAGGGATCGGATGCTGGTTTGATAGAGGGATCGGCTGCTGGTTCGAGGGTGGAGGAGAAACAACAACCCTCCTCAATTGTGAAGAGGGTTCGGGAGAGGGAAGGGAGGAAAAAGACGACGAAGTTGGTGGATTTTATGACCCCTCCGTCATCCGGTCCGAAGAGGCAGAAGAGGCAAAAAAGGCAGAAGAAAGGAAAAAAAAAAGCAAGAGCAGTTGGTGACCTTGGATGATGATGAGGTAATTAAACTAGCAATTTTATGTTTGTAATTCATGTGATTATTCGTGTTGTTTTCATAAAAATAAGTAATTATTTTGTAATGTAGGAGAGTGACAAGAATGACGACGATGAGGATTGTTCGCTGAATGAATACAGGGGCAGAGAGGATTTTTGTGGACACGGGGTTGTCCCGGAAGAGGATGTTGCAGTCATCTGGTCGTTTTTGGCAAGCGATCAATTGAGGTAACAGAAATGACGTTAATTATTTTAATTTTTATTATATCATACTAATTTAAATTACAAATTTTGGTAGCAAAATAGTGTGGAGCAATGACCGAGTTGTGGTCCGAGGTAAATCGATGTGCTCTCTTTTGTTCGGGTCGGAGTTGAATTCGTCACTCATTGATTGCTATATGACTATCCTGCGTGGCTGCCATCCTCATATCCGATTTTTGCCGACATATGTTCAGGTACCTGGTATTTAAATATACTCTATCTATTAATTTTGTTGATTGTTAATTTGCTAAAAAAACTATTGAATTTGTAGAGTGATGTTGTGAGTGCAATCGAACAAATTAAGCATAGACCTCCTCGGAAGGAGGATTATGAGGCGTGTGCTTCTACTTTTAGTAGAAGTACTATTGCGGTGCTTGATGAAATGATGAGGTCCTTGAATGGTGCCAAACATGTTTTCTTTCCCGTGGTGAAAAAATTTCACTTCTACCTTCTTGTCCTTAACATTCCTGAAATGAAGTTTGTGTACCATAATTCGATGGATAATGCGGCGTATCGAGGGATTGGGAAGAGCTTGGTAAGTGGTATTATGACATATAAAACTTTGTTTTGTAGTCATTATTTTTCTTTCGAATAAACGTATTTTGTTGCTTTCTCCTTATTTTTTAAAATGTGTAGGCCAAGTGCATGGGATATTATTTGAATAAGTATGTTCGTGGAATGGACATTCGTCAAAAGGATTTTGGGTTCGGATACCTCAGGGAGCAGATCGGTTTCAAGGACTGTGGCGTGCACATATGCTTGGATATGGAGTGCTACGGCGTCGATTCGCCTGAATTCTGGAAGGCCCATTATAGTTGTTCGATTGACGGCTATCGAGCACGCATGGCAGCTCGCATCCTCATAAATCCTCCTTCATGTTGACTGTTTGGATGATGGTTTGAACAATATGTCTTGGTTGTGAACAATTTGTCTTTTGAATTTGAACAATAACTGTTTGGTTGTTTGGTTGATATTTGCTTTGTCTGTGGATGATGTTTGGATATGGTTTATGCAATATGATTTTGTAGAATATGGTTTATGGAACAATATTGGTTTTACCACAAATAATACCATTTTTTCTTCTATCCAGTACCTGTTGTTGATCAATTAGTACCTGCTTTTTTTGTTCTTTATACAAAACAGGTACTAATAAAGCAATAACTGGTACTACATAGAAGAATAAGTGGTACTAATTCATCAATAACTGGTACTAATTGAGCAAAAGACATTCAGAAGTGAATTAAATTGCTTTCCATTAGTGCGTTGAGTTAGTGACCAATTTGCGATTAAACTTAACAAACCAAATTTTAAATCTCATATAAACTAATGTGAGAGTGATCATGTGTCTTATAGACATCATTTGCGACCGAAATTCGGTGTTTCTATCTGTTCATATAAGTAGTACTAAAGACTCCATATGTGGTACTAAATTCCCATATACAGGTACCAACTTACACTATGACTGGTACCACTTTTTTAAAATGTTGACCACAATTCAAGAAACAATCAATTATCCTTGACAAAAGTAGGTACTAATCGACTAAAAACAGGTACTGCATACAGGAACAGGTGGTACTATTTTGTCTAAATCAGGTACTATATGTGTGTAGAGTTCATGACCATTTTATGATTAAACTCAACGAAAAACATTTTATATCTCATATAAACTAATGTGAGAGT